GCGAGAAGCGAGATTAAAAAGCGCTATCAATTTTCACCCGTCAATTCAATAAACCGTCGACTTCGAGCCGAAATGAAAATTTCCATACGTATTACGAACATGACAGGCAAGCCCCGGTATGTCACGGACGTGTCGGCACCGGTGCAACAGCCTCTGTCATGATTATTCAATTATTTTATACAATTATCCTTGCGCTGAAGTTTGAGGACAGCGCAAATAACCGCGCACGAAAATGGATCCGCGCCGGGATGTCGCGACGCGAGAGAATTTTTCATATAATCCGATTAAAATTTCACCGATGCCGCCTATCTATGCACCCGTTAAAAACTTGTTGCATCGCGAATGCAGCGCGTATATATTCGTCGGTCGAATAATACGATGAAACTTGACGTGGGCGCGCACGCGAAATGCAATAATTTTTAATTTTGTCAAGCGCCACGCGTTGCCAGGCAACACCCCAACGGCGCGAGAGCGATAGACAATCGTGAAATTTCTCCTTTCTTTTTTTTTTCTTTCTTTCTTTTTTTTTTTTTTTTTTTTTTTTTTTTTTTTTTTTTTTTTTTTTTTTTTCGAAAAAATATTCGTTGATTGGATTGGTCGCGATCATCGTGTTAATTGAGAATAATTTTTTTTTTCTTTTAAATAATCCAATATTCCCCCTATATTCTGGAATTTGAAATATCAGTGAAATTTAGGAAAAATATAGTCGAGAGTTAATATATAGTTAAACAAAAATTTGTACGTAAGAAACGTTTGAAAACTTGTGAACGATAAAATGTGTGTGCGAACAAATAAATATCACGGAATCGATGAGAATATATTTCTTCGTGTCGTTGAAGCTATAATAATAATTTCTCTATTACTCGACGTGGTAATGTTATTAAAGTAATATAGGGTATGGAAATTAATATTGGTCTCGTTTGAAGCGACGAATCGCTGTTGTTCGAGAAACGGGTTTACGAAAAAAGAGACGTGAAAGAGAAAGGAGAGCAAGAAAAAGGTTGGGATCACGGGGGGCAAAGAGAAAGTAATCTCCTTTAATAATCTCGGCATTCGGTCGTGAATTTCGGTGTTAATAATATTTCAAGAGATCCGAATCGATAAGTATATATTAAAAACTCGTGGCCACGGTTATATATATATTTTTTCGAGGTTAATTTTCGAAACAGGCTCGAATCAATTATATTCACGATCCGTTAATGCCTTTTCACGCGGGTAAACGCAATTAAAATTACACTTTATCGTGTCGGATAGCCCGACGTCGACGACGGTTTAATTACGACACATTCGAGTCGATAAAAAATGCAAAGAGGCAAAATGGCGCGTCGTTCACCGTGAGACAGTTTCGACATTAAACTTCAATCTGACGACGATAAAACTTTCAACGAAGCGACGAAGGATCGCGATTAAACGCAACAATGTTGCTTTAATGAGTTCTTTTTAAAAATTTTAATGATACGGTTTAACGAGGGGGAGAAAGAGAGAGAGAGAGACGAAAGTGAAAGGTAACTGTTACGTGAAATTTTGAGAGTTTGAGGTATATAATAATCGATGAATATCGTATTTCTTTTTCTTCTTTTTTCTTTCTTTCTTTTTCTTTTTTTTTTTTTTTTTTATCACGAAATTCTATTTTACGCGAATGACGAAAGTTTAAGTTGGTCGGTGTAATGGAAATGGAATGCATAAATATCGGGCCGAAAATACTCCGTTTCGTTTTAACTTCGAATCTCAAGCGTTTCACGCTAGAAGAAATATCTTGGATCAAAGGAAATCAACTTGTCTATCAAAAGTCAAATAAATTTAGAATCTCGCAATCGTGTGGACGATGGATTGTTAAACAATTCGAAACACTAAAAGGATTTCATCATCGCTCCTCGATTCGTCCAATGTCGTTCTTCCATTGATATATATTTCAATATCGAGCCAAAGAAATCTCGAATGAATTTCGTTCTGGATTTCGAAATTTTCATTTACAACCTCTCTCCCCGCTCCCTACTAACTCATTGTAAAACTCGATGGAGATCGAGCAGAAAAAGCGGTTCTTCCCTCGGCATAATTAAATTTATCCCCGTTATTACAGTGTCCGCAAAAAACGAGGAAAGTGTTTACCATTAATTAATCTTTTTTTTTTTTTTCTCATAGTGGGGGAGAGCGTGACGGAACGAAAGGTATGGCAGCCGTAAAAGTCGTCTCCGCCAGCCGGTCGTCGAGATGAAAACAACGAGAGAAGAAGAAGAAGAAAAAAAAGGAACATAATTAATAAGCTGCTCCATGGGAAAACGAACGAAAATAAAGTCTCGCGAGCCCTCAAAACAATTAATCGTGAAAACGTGTACGTACGATTTCTTAAAGAAGAAAAAAGAAAGGAAGAAAAAAAAAAAAGGAGGATCCTCGTCGCGGGAGGGGAGGGAGGCGAGGTACGCTTCTAATCGATCGTTTCGATCGTTTCGATCGATCGATCGATCTTGGAGTAGGGCCCCTTGAGTATAGACCGCTTTCTCATGCGGCTAATGTAATTAAAGGAAAACTCTATCTCTCGACCTCCTTCTTTTCTCCTTTTCCCCGTGGCTCGGCCACGTCGCGATTATACGAATCCTCCTCCATCGATAAAACGTAAAAGGAGTAACGCTCGAAGTGCGCACTCGACAACGTTTGCTCCGCGACCATCGAGCGGATAAAACGCTTTAACGAGTGCGTCGAGTGCCTCGCGAGCCTCTCTCTTTTCCTCTCTCTCTCTCTCTCTCTCTCTTTCCTTTCCTCCCTCTCCGTTTCTTTCCCCCCTTGAAAGCGTGGATCATTAATTAGCTCCGCCGAATGAAGAAAAAAAAGAAAAACAGGCTCTCGCCTATTCGAGGCAACGACTGGCAACGAAGGCCGGCAATAATAAAACGGGGCAATTAGCCACTTTTAATAACATCGTTTCAGGGGACGACTTATTTGTACTTTCCTCCTTTTCGGATCGAGACCAGATATAGACGCGATGATCGCGATGAGTTTCTTTCTCTTCTCCGTTTTCGACGAGTCTAACATATCGGCACGAGTTACTTCGGTATTCGCGGTGGTAATTGACGCGGTAATTGGCCTAATTTTAAAACGGCGCGGTACGGAGAGCGCGTGGTTTAAAAGGGCACGAATGAAATTCGAGAATAGAGCGCGACTTGGTTGGAATTGTTACGTCGCCGTTTCGGTAATTAATTGAAGGAAATTGATGCACTCTGTCCGAGGATAAAGGTAGTAGAATGGATAAAGGTAGTGGAATGGAGGACGGGGTGAAGGGTGAAATTAACCGGGGAACGAGGTAAATTCGTTTAATCGAGGCAGCTTAATTCACGCAAGGTTTCAATTGGGGGACTGGTTACGTAGTTTCGTTTCGTAGAAATTGTGTTTCGACAGTAGTTTGTTCGAAATAAGATAATATAGGGGGAAACTATAATTAAAAGGATATTAAAAATAATTTTCATTTCCAAAATTTCTATCGTTCAATTTATACTCGGCTTTCGATAAGTTGGAGATTCGCGAAAGGTAAAACGTTCGTATTCTCCTCGTTTTCTTTTCACCGAAGACGACAATTCGCTCGTTAATTAACGAGCGAACCGTCTGTCGGCGTGGTGGCCTCCTTTTTTGGCCACGGACACGAGCGCGGCCGTCATATTTCGTCGCGGCCGGTGCTCGAAACTTGGCGGGGTCTTAAGGCGTAGTAAGAGGAAGAGGTGCATACGCCGTATAGGCGCGTATGCACCGCGAACAATGCATATTCATGAACCGGCGTGCATATTTACGAGCGGCTGCTCGCCCAGAGATCCATGGCACAACTTTACAACGCTTTCGGTCTTGGATATCCCCTCGTACAAAGGAAGCCGTGCTCTGCCCCGATACCGTCGTCGCGAGGTATACAGCGTTTTCGAATCGAGAGTTTCGAGCGAGGGAACCTATATATATATATTCGAACAGATTTTCATGAAAATCAGGGAAAAAGAAGGAAGCGTTTCTCGCGTAATTTTATCCTAAAGTTCTATTAAAAACGTATCTCATAAAATTAGGAAAAGTTTGAACCGCTGTAACTTCGAATATAGTAACTTCCGGTCAACGAGTGAAACATCATTAGAAGCGCGAAACTTTACCTTTTAGAACGCTTTTTCATTTATTCAATTCGGACTTCCGGTTCCCGAGATATCGACGTGTAAAGAAAAAGATAATTTTTAATCGTTTATCTTAAAACGCGATTAAATCGTATTAAAATTAGGAAAAGTTTGAACCGCTGTAACTTCGAATATAGTAATTTCCGGTCGATGGGTAAAAGATCGTTGGAAGCGGGAAATCTTCCTCTTTAAAAGTCTTTTTGATTTATTCCGATACGATATCCCGTTCCCGAGATATCGTCGTGTAAAGGAAAAGGTAATTTTTAATCATTTACCTTAAAACGCGATTAAATCGTATTAAAATTAGGAAAACTTTGAACCGCTGTAACTTCGAATATAATAACTTCCGGTCAACGAGTGAAACATCATTAGAAGCACGAAGCTTTACCATTAAAACGCTTTTTCATTTGTTCAATTCGGACTTTCAGTTCCCGAGATATCGACGTGTAAAGAAAAGATAATTTTTAAATGATCATTTACCTTAAAACGCGATTAAATCGTATTAAAATTAAGAAAACTTTGAACCGCTGTAACTCCGTAGATAATAACTTCCGGTCGATGGGTAAAAGATCGTTAGAAGCGGGAAATCTTCCTCTTTAAAAGTCTTTTTGATTTATTCCGATACGATATCCCGTTCCCGAGATATCGTCGTGTAAAGGAAAAGGTAATTTTTAATCGTTTATCATCTCCTTCCTTGTCTCTTACTCGGATCTCTCGCTCTCACTGACCTATTCCAAACTCCAGACAAGTGACAGACGCGATTCCTGGAAAAACGTAGGACGAATTTCCAGGAAAGAATATAGGTCATTGACTCGCGGGCCAATTCATGATCCTATGGAAACTTTGAGTGCTTATATCTCGGCAACCAATTGAGATATCGAGATAAATCAAAAAGAGGCTTCAATGGCACGGTTTCCTCTACTTCCTTAATTCGTTTTGACGACGAATTTTTAGTTTCTTCTTACTTTTTTTTAGACAAAAATTGAAATTCCATTCGTGACTTTGCTCGAATGCAGTGGTACGTTATCACGATATAGGGATATAATTTAGCATAATATGAGATATAATCTGTAAAGTATGATTGAAAATGATTTAAATTAATATACAGGTATTGTTATTCATCATCGAATTGTCGAGAGACGCGTCTTGACGATCGAGGGATACAATGTTTTCGACAATTATGCCCCGGTGTTCACGCGTTTGAAGAGACGCGAATTCTCAGATATCAAATCGCGGCGAAAGCCACCGCCACCAACACGGAGAAAGTCAACACGGCACCCGAGTAAATGAGAAATTTTATTGGATCCCCCGAAGGGAGTTTCGCGACGCGCCGTTGAAAATTCCAGCAGAGAGGAACGCACGTTAAACTATTAGCTCTGTAAACGTTCGAGGCTGCGCGATGAAAGTTCCCTTTCTCGCGGGGAAACGGGAAATTTCATTAGACTCGTTGATCCCGTTCAAATGTTTAATCTGTCTGGATATAATCCGGTGGTCGATCGGAGGAAAAGAAAAAGGAGAGAGAGAGAGAGAGAGAGAGAGAGAGAGGGAAAGAAAAAAAATAAACGAACAAGAAGATCGACAATTTTGTTAAATAGCCGCTCAATGAATCGGAAGGCGAGCTGAGATTGAACTCTTGACTCTTGTTTCGCGTCTAATGAAAATCGAACGAACAAAAGGAAGAATATTTATAATTCTTGATAATATTTTTTTTCTTTTTTTAGCATAAACAATTCTACAGAAAATAATTAAAATCGAGAGAATAAGAATTATTCTTAAAAAAAAAATCTACCCGAAGCATTTACTTTTATCTCGAACAATTTTCCTTCACATTCTCGAAAATAAATTTCAATCATTCGTCACGCATGCATGCTCGCCTCGCATTTTTCCGCTCTAAGATAAAAATCTATCCACCGGATAAAATAAGATTTCCAACCAAATGTACGCGCAATAAATTTCTCTGATGGTCCGCTGTACTAGACGAAACGACTGCAAGTAGTTCACGGTTGAATTATATTCCGCGTCGCTAAATTGAGCTCCACTTCAACGACTACAATCAGGATTAGCCGAGAGAAAGAGAGAGAGAGAGAGAGAGAG